GCCATCATTGTTGTTTGGCGGACCCAGGCTGGATTTGAACCCTCCACCTTAGGTGTACGTGGCTGGTGCCTTAGCCACTTGAGCCACAGGCGCTGAGCCAAAAAAAAATTTTTTTTTAAAAACAATACACAGCTACTGTTTTGAGGGTTACTATGTGTTATGTTTTACATATCTTACCTCATTTAGTTATCATAGCATTTTTCTTTTTTTTTTTTTTTTTTTGCAGTTTTTGGCCAGGCAAGCATTGAACCTGCCACCTCTAGCATATGGGGCTGGCATTTCATAGCATTTTTCTTGAGATATAAATATTGTTCCCAATTTCTAGATGAATTGATGCCCAGGATTTCATATATACAGTGAAACTGTAATGCCTATAGCATTATTTTCATTAGGACTCTGGTGAAATATTCCTGAGGAGATGCTCAGATTTTATTCCTCAGGAAATGTTTGTATTTATTTAGTAGAGGGTAATGAGGAAGAAGACAAAGTTTGGATGAGGTTTTCCCTTTCAACGCTGATAGGAGTTTTAAACTAACTAATAGAAGTTCAATTTAAAAGGTAAAAATAAACTGACGTCAGTTTCACTTACGCTGGTAATCAGGAGTGTGTGCACTTGACAATTGGCTTAGTAATTTTAATATTTAAATTTTAGCTTCTCACAGCACATGTATTTTCCATATACCAACACCTTCCTCTCTCCAGTTTCTTTGAATGACCTAGTTTTCATCATTTTAGGTCAGTGCGCCATGCCTCTGCCAGCAGTCGAGTTTACATTATTTTTTGAGGCAGATGCAATGTCTGTATTCAATAGCACATCTATTCATGATTTGCCTATGAAAAAGTTTGTTTATATGTTTTGTGGTTGAGTCAGATCACTTCTGTCCACCAGGTTGCAGATAACTTGTACACACACATGCTGATAGCACAATGTGCAATTAACAGAAGTTCTTGTTTCTTAAATTGCCTTTATTTAATGTCATAGGAATGTAAATTCTACATAGAGATCATGTCTCTGTGCTTGAGACATAGTATAGGTGTTTAATGATAATGAAATGAATGGATATTTTGGCTAAAATATACTTTAAAAGTTAATGTCATTCTATTTATACTGTAAAATTCAGCCCCATAATAAATTTAACTTCTAATGGCTATCTCCCTCTGACATTTAAAATAAAGCATGGATAGAAACATAGAATAGACTTATTCTGCTTTCCTTTATCCAGCCTCTTAAATCAGCTTACTTCCTATCTTTCAGGCAGAACCCTCATATCTATAAATATCCTCTTCCCTATTTAGCAAACCCTGATAATCCTGTGATCCCCTGTCCTTAGTAGTTGGGTTAATGTGATGCTGTATTGTATTTGCACTTGTCTTTCCTAGACCATGTTTGAGATACCATTTATCATTTTGCTGGAAGAAAATAT